CTTGCATAGCTGGTCAACATGATTCTGATCTGTGTATTTCTGATGAGAGAATCCGCTTCAGTCCCTTTCACACGTCTAAGAAGGACAGGGTTGCCTTCGATATCTCTCGGAACCGTAAAGGATCCAGTGTTCGCACAGATCTTCTCTTCGGCTGTCATGAGTGACCAATGCGCTTCATCTAGAACGAGATCAGCTTGGTGATCATCGTAGGATGATGGTCCTCTGAGAGTCTTCTGCATCTCCATCTTCCTGGTCAGTGTATCTCATGGTTCTTTCTGAACTTCCAGTGCCGGATGAGGTTGGAACATGAGGAATCAGCTCTTCCTCACTTTCATATTGAACCGGCAAATTGGCTGGATTGTTCGGATTATAATTGGATGAAGATGCAGGATCATGTCTGGGAGAATGCTCAGGTGACTCATCATTGTCATCTGGCTTCTTCTTCTTCTTCTTCTTCCCAGTCTTCTGCTTCTTTGACGGACTGCCGGTTGTTTCTTCTTGCACAAGTGTCGGCAGTTCAAGATCTTCATCTTGTTCCTCTGCTTCGGGATTTGTAAGAATCGCAGGTGGTGAAGGTACCACGACAGTCGGAAGAATTGGCTGAGATGATTGCGACTGTGACGGCAAAGTCGTGTGGCGGTAGTGGAGGATCCACTGGACTGTCTGGCAACACACTGCGTGGTGCTGGCGGCATGGGATGATCAGGCTGATGTGGAGGATCCGGAGGAGGATCTGACATGCTCTCGTCCGGAGGTGTTGGAGGTCTTGGATCAGGCATGGGATGGTCCGATTGATCAGGTGGTGGCTGTGTGTCAGGTTGCTGAGGCGCATCCGTGGGATCCCATGGATCCGTCTCGATGGGCATCGGCCTGATGGCCGGCGCATCGGTGAACGACTCATGAACGGATGAAAACATCACAGCATGCCACGTCTTCGGATCATACTTCTCCCAATTGCATTTTGATGCTGGCAAGACCCAAATTCTATTCAGCTGATCAGGCTGCCAGAAGGATATGATTGCATCGTCCGGAGGTGACGTAATAGGCATATTGATGCCAATGGTGTGGACGTATGCAGTGCATGCATCATACTGCGTGGATGAGATGCACAGTTGCCTCAACTTCTTGCAGCCGTTCCACATGCTCTGACATCGCCAGTCATTAGGATCTTGCTTGAAGATATCAATTTCAGTCCCAGGTGGGTACTGCTTCATCGTGGATCTTGAATGACTAATGGTTGAACATCCTTGTTGAACGGCAGGTCTTGGATTCTGACTGCAAGACTGCTGCTGGTCATGTTGAACTCCTTGTCAATGGCTTCCATCTCCTTTCTCAGGATATCAACCTGCTTGATGGTGAATGGTTCAAAAAGGTCCTCCAAGAGGTACACCTCGTTGTCACGCGGTTTCACCTGCAAGTGTCGTAAGATGATGTGCGCAAGGTCCTGACAGAACTGGTAAGGATACACCTGTGCCAGTTTGGTTCTGCTTCCGAAGGAACCAGCGTTTCCCTCTAGGGGTTGGTGTTCATGCTTTACTGAGCTGGAAAAGTTTTTACACCTTCTGAAGATCGGTCTCATAACCTCGGAAGGTAAGCAGTGCATCAAGCTCGTGGGCTTGAGACTTCTGAGCCCGGATTCAGGATCTTTTAGTCCGTATGCACAGAAATGGAAATCTCCCCAGGTCACGGATGGGTCTGAAAACAATTGCTGCATGCATTTCAGATACCATATCCTGCATGTCTGAGGATTTTCGATAATGAAGTATCTTCTGTGCTTCAACTGGTAACGCGCAATGGATGCCACAAATTCAACCATGGGAAGGTAGCGTTTCCGCTTTTCCCCCACCTTTTGCTGGTCTTGCTGGATGTTCTGCATATTTGACCATGGTCCGCAGACTGGTGCCATAAGGATGACATCAGGTGCTTGTTCCCTGATGATCTCCATGACCATGTGTCGTCCCTTGGATGTCATTACATCGAATCCTGTGCGGATGTCCACGGGAGTCCCAACCTTAAGACCTGACAGTGCACAGCATTGACTGAATCTGGCACTTCCTGCAAAGATCTCGAGAACGTGGATCTTTCCCTTACGTACACAGTTCCAATGTGCTTGTTCAGGAATAGATGTGAGGTCCTCGACGAACATGTTCTCTGCTGGATGAGGTGCTGCAGGTTTTGGAGTTGTTGTTTTCCGCGATACGTGCATCGTTCTCCTCGAGGACCCAGAACGTCTCTTCATCGTTGTTTGACATGAATCCTTCAAGTCCTTCTTCATCCTCAACCCAGAAGCCTTCTTCTCCTTCGTATTCACCTTGTTCGATGATGAAGAATGTGTTGCTTCGGCTGCCTCCTTGAGGTCGGATGGATGGATCTTGGATCGATGTCCTCGTAGTGATGAAGAGTTCATGGTAGCGTGTCTTCAGCATCTCATAGGAATAATTCTCGAGTGAGATGTTCCTAAATGACATTGCACTTGTGAGTCGTTCTCTTTGTTGATCTGACAACTCACTTGGTATAATGAAAAACTGTGCAATGAGATTATCCCCGAAGGGAAATGCGTCCCGCTGTCTGTCCTGCATTCCTTGGATATATTGTCTGAGGACTGTAGGATCGTCCTCATTTAGCAGGGCTGGAGGCGGTGCTCGAGCACCGGCTGCTTGCTGATGTCGAGCAATTGTTCTCGCGTTTGCGTCCTGTACGGACTGTCGGAATGATGGAGACTGTGCCGTAAAGATTGGCATCAAGTCCATCCATGCTGCCTTCAATCTCATGAGAAGGATCTCGAATTTTGAGGTAAAAATGAGGAACTCTTGGTTCTGCCTTCTGTGGTTGAAGAAACTGAGGAGTCTGTACAGATACACGTTGATCGCACCTTTCAAAAAGTACTTCTTCAGCGTGTTCTTGAAATAGTTGACTCCTTCATCAGGATCTTGCAAAAAGTCATTTTGGAGGACGGCCTTGTACATGTAAGCATCTCCAGTGAGTCTGCTCTTAAGCAATGGACCTCGCTTGGCTGCTTCTACTGTGGTGATTGTCACCCAGTCGTCCACGAGTTCTTCACACCTGAACCAGCTGACTTTTCCGTCGTACGATGGCGGCTGCTTGGCGGTCATCGATAAATTAAGTGTTTCCTCCGTGTAGCTCGGCTTTGCCGAACTTGTGTAGGCTTCCATGAAACCTTCTCCATCTGATGACATCTTCCCTTGGATCTCTGCGGAAAACCCGCTCCGCTACCACAAATTGAGGCCCACTGCCCCAGGTGCCTATCCCCGGAGGGAACTGGAACCCTGTGGTAGTTGAGGTCGTTGTTGGTCCCTGAATCTATTCCGGAGAGAGTCCAGTATGCCTACAATGGATGATTGGAGGATGGATTGTCCCTGGTGGATTGTCTGATGGATAATCCTGTAAGCGGCCTGCAATGGCTCTTTTGTCCTCACGCTCGAATGGTCGTGATTATGCAAAAGGGGCCTTGAGCCAAATGTTGCGGGAGATCAATCTGTGCGAAAACAACACACCCCCCCCCCCACAGAAAAAAAAGAAGTGGATTGGCGCATTCCCGATTCTCGCTCGCGAACGCCGCACCGGAGAATCAAGAATGCGCCCATCCACTGAGGGGGTCTCCCCCCCCCCCCAAGAAAAAAAAGAAGAAGTGGATTGGCGCATTCCCGATTCTCGCTCGCGAACGCCGCACCGGAGAATCAAGAATGCGCCCATCCAGCTGAAGGGGTCTCCCCCCCCCCCCCACAGAAAAAAAAGTGGATTGGCGCCATCCAACTGAGGGGGTCTCCCCCCCCCCCAAGAAAAAACAAAGAAGTGGATTGGCGCATTCCCGATTCTCGCTCGCGAACGCCGCACCGGAGAATCAAGAATGCGCCCATCCAGCTGAAAGGGTCCCCCCCCCCCACAGAAAAAAAAAAGTGGATTGGCGCATTCCCGATTCTCGCTCGCGAACGCCGCACCGGAGAATCAAGAATGCGCCCATCCAACTGAGGGGGTCTCCCCCCCCCCCGAGAAAAAAACAAAAGTAGATTGGCGCATTCCCGATTCTCGCTCGCGAACGCCGCACCGGAGAATCAAGAATGTGCCCATCCAGCTGAAAAGGTCCCCCCCCCACAGGAAAAAATGGATTGGCGCATTCCCGATTCTCGCTCGCGAACGCCGCACCGGAGAATCAAGAATTCGTTCATTTAATTGAAGGGGTCGGCGGCACTGGGCGGCAGCCCTTAAATATATATATATATATATATTTGAGTTTGACCTATGGTTCCCCAACAAAAAAACACAAACTAGGTGTACAGCAAACAATCGGGGGACTGATTCGCCTGCTACTTTCTGGGGCCCCCCTTTCTCGGGCTCCGTTTGGAAATGCCAGTGAAGCATCAGGTGGGGGGGATGGGGGGATGGGGGTGGGGGGGATGGTGACTGGGGTGGGGGTGGGGGGTGGGGGGTGGGGGCCACTGGCAATGAAACTCGATCTCTCGATCTCAGACATTACCAAAGCTTGGGCCCCAAAGATTTTTTCATCGCGTCCAAAGCTTGCTCAAAATGCGGGCGAAGTTGAAGCGCTCATGTCTCCTTCCTTGAGCCAGCAAAATATTTCCGGGGAGCCCCCCCAAGGGGTGGGTATGTATATATATATATACAAATATATAAGAACGTGGTTGTTTTCGGGGTGCACCAGCTTCTCACCCCCTACTCCGAATAATTACCATTCATTTTTAAGGGTATGATTCAGTATGCTGTCAGCCCATGACTAACAGAAAGGGTAGTTGCCATGAGAAGCCGTGGTTTTCCTAAACATATCTTTAAAAAACAGCGAGTATTTGGAGTAGGGGACGGGTGTTGACCCTGGATTTGCTCATCTCGAACCGGATTTCTCAGAAGGCTTCCACTACTCCCAAACCACAGGTCTTCGGGAGTTGTAAACACTGTACATGGGTTGTATACCCCAATTTCCTCGGGTGTGGGTGTAGAACCCATCTGATCCTTCCGTTGCCGCGCCTCTCTGCTATGTTGCCCAGGTGGCGGAGTGGTGGGAGGTGCCGGCGGCGGAGTGTCGCATCGTACTTTCATACCCCTGCGGCGTGCAGAAGCTTACCCCCCACTCCAAATACCCGGCCTTTTTTTAGGGTATGATGTCGACCCTCTACTAAAAAAGGAGGTATTTACCATGGACCCAGGCTGTTAAAAAAAAAAAAAAAAAAGTGGGTATTTGGAGTACGGGTATGGGTCTGTGGCAAGGGATTTGGAGCCCCACATATTGTGGATGGACGAAATCCTTCGCACCACTTTGAAACTACATTGCTTGTTGGCATTTACAGGGGCATCATCATTGGAGGGTTTCTTAGGTGGTGCAGGATTTTGTCCATCCACAGTATGGTGCTCCTTTTGGTTTCACTCAAACCAGCCTTAAAAAGGGCACTGGAGATACTGATTCAGAGCCACATCCAGGACATTTCGACCAAACTTCATGGGCAAGGCCATTTTTCTAAGGCGAGAGCTGCACAAGTCTGGAGAATATCCCCACGAAAACAGGTGCTAAAATGGATCCCAATACAGTTTTGACCCAACATCCAGGTTTCAAGGGAGTCACCCAGGTTTCAAGGGAGTCACCCAGCCTCCGCTCATTCCTGTCCACCTCCTCACACTGGCCCGCCTCACCGCCCACGCCTTGTGCCCGGAGAGATTTGGATCCCGAAAAGCGCAAAGCCGGGGAGGGGGGGGTGTTCCTGAAAGCCTTATATAAACAGCTGAAAAGGGTGCCCTCAAAAAACAGCACCTGGAAGCCAAGCGAATTATTCCGTTTGATTCCCAACTGCCTGTGTACTTGCAATGTTGTTGGAATCCGAGCTGCTTTGTACAGTTGGTGGAAAACCAGAACTGCCGTTCCAGATTGACCCTGTAATAGAAGCAACTTTCACAAGATCTCAGGCTGCTAATCCCTGGTTGTCAAGCACAGGTGTGTTCTTGACCAGTATCTGAAGATCGTTAAGACAGGTGGCTTCTGTCACATTCAGCTCAGTTCATTGCATGACGAAGCAGGGTCCTTTGGCTCTGCTTTGCAACCTTGCCAAGACTTGGATTGCGGTTGTCCGCTCACCAATGCTGAAGCCATCACTGTTTCATGGAAGCTGAACAACCACAACCTCCATTTGCTTAGGTCCCCCGGACAAAAATAAGAATATGTCCAACTGTGGTAGATTCCCTTGAAACCAACAGTTTTTGTTTACACATTTCTTAAGCAAAGGGAAGACAAGGGAACCCCTCAAACACCTACATGGATGAGCTGGGAATCCTTCGGAGTTCGAGCCTCCCCGTGCGCCAAGAGGCATGCGATGCTTTTGCAGGCATCCATGTTGTCACCAACCTGGCCCCAAAGAAAAAGCAGCAGAGCAATAAATAAGCCCCTGAACTTTCGGCTGAAGGACAACATCCTGCACCAATATTCTGGAAAACACACTATACGAATGAATATTGGGAGCAGGCAGCTACCGACTGCAGGATTCTCTACATCCACAGTATGCGGGGTGTACGAAAATGATGCCCGATTGACTGATCACAAACACGCAAAGAATCGTGGGCCCATGTGTCGAACTATCAAACACCCACCCAGAAGTACCCTGTGGTGACTGACAATTGGAGGGAAGCCTACCGGCAAAACATAACCCGCACAGGACAACTTTCCAGGAACTTGTCCGCATTCCTGTTTAGATTGGCGGCAAGCGGGGGACATGATTGCAAGTAGGGGACGTACAACGCATTTATATATATATATATACATGTGTGCTTTTTTGGAGGGATCCGTTTTCAGACCCACAGCAAACTCATATTCTTTTGAGGCGTCCTCAGAATACTGACATATACACATATTGTGAAATAGCTAGTTACTTGGCCTATCACAGAGGCCGGGCTACGCTCAAACTTCATATCGACGCAAGAACCAAAGACTCTACGAGCCACGAATAATCTGTGTTCCCCAAGATGGAGCGATGAAGTTGGAACACATCAATGCCCGAAAGCCCGAAGCCCGTGTCGCCTGGGCTGAGTAGCAAATCTAGTTCCAAAGCCCCAGCGCCTACAAACTTTAAGCAACTGAGGCGGTACCCTATCCAACATGGGAACAAAAAGACTATCAGCTGATCTCACGTCCACCCAAAACACATGTTAACAATATGATCCATATTTAGTAAACCTGAAATGCAACAGAACCTCAGAGTAAGAGTCCTAGTCCAACCTCTTGGTTCCTGTAAAACCTGTAAACCTTTAACACCTTCTGGTTCCTGTAAAACCTGCAAGCAACCTGTAAAACCTTTAGGTTATAGTAAGTAACCTGTAAAACCTTTTGGTTCCTCGCCTGGTACACCTCGCCGTTGGGGCAGGTGCATGCACCGCCCCAGCCCCCCGCCGCTGGCTCGCCCTCCTCTTGCGCCTGAAGCTGACATTGATCTGTGGCTCAAGAAAAGGTACCCCCTGCTGCAAATACCCACTGTTTTCAGGGTATTTTTTGAACAACCTGGGTTTCCATGGTAAATACCTCCTTTTTTAGTAGAGGGTCGACATCATACCCTACAACAGAGGGTATCTGGAGTGGGGGGGTACCATGGCACCTTGGAAAATGGAACCAAAGACCACCTGCGGTTTGCCCTGGCTCATTTATTTTTCAGGGCCACACCCACATGTTCGATTCAATCTTCGAGCGATGGCTGCATCTTTAGAAACGTTCGCTTCGAGGACTGGGACCAACTTCGCTCGAATGGGACCTGCGCGGGTAGAACATAGGTGCCACCTTGAAAGCCAACATCAGGGTTTGCTGGTCAGTTTGCTCACGAATAGTGCAAGGGCCCGTGATTCACAACCGAAATACCAGCATGCCATGTGTCATCAGTCTACGGGGATGGCATCATGCAACATGCGTATATCACAGATGCGCACGCATATTGCTTGCATGATTCTGTTTCATTTGGCTTGTGTTGCCTTCTTGGGCTAGTCGTCACCGAAGGGCTGCAACGACTGGCCGAAACGACATTCAAGCCTACTTGCTGGATCTGCAAGACTGTGATAATGACACACAGTGTCGTCGAAGCCTGCTACGGAATTGTCCCCTATACATGTCCCCACTAAAGTGACTTACTGGTCAGCGCGAATCCCGGCATGCTCAAAGCCAACGTGCTCGTTGCCAGCTGAGGCTCATTGTAGTACCAATTTTGCTCTTCCGGCAGCAGAGTTTCCTGCTTCTTTGTCCTACGCAGCACAATCATCCATCTGTGTTTTTTTCAAAATTATGGCAATCAACTTCAGGCAAAATCTATGTCGCAAACAAATGTCAACAGATGGCACCCGACGTCAAGTCGATTTTTGTAGCGAACGAACGCTGCACGGAACCAGCCAGCTGCACACATGTGGAACTCCGCACTCTGTCCGGGACTTCTTCTGAAGCATCAGCCATGCTTGATCTCGACCTGGTCGGGCACATGTAATGTGTCCAAATGGGGGGAACATGGAAGAACCCAACAAATCCTGGCGTTCCTGTTGCTGTCCTCCTGAAGAGAGAGTACCCTCAAGAAACACAAATATATATCTCAACATGTGAGCAGTTGTCTGGTGTGTTGACTCATCAAGGCTGCGTACAGAATTCCCAGCCGACGCAAAGCCTGCGCGAAGCCTACGTAAGTGCCCGCGCCGCCTACCTGGAGATAAGCCTTTGCCTACGCCTTGCTTATGCCTTGCCCATGTGCGCAGGAAAACAAGACTGACGCTCTCAGCTTCTGCCTGCTTGGTCCACACCCAAACCTGTCAAGAGAGCCAGTCATAGAACTTCTAACTGCCTCCAACGCTCGAAGTTCTAGAGCACCAATTGGAAATTAACTTTGATAGGGAACCACCTCAAAGGTGGTTAGCGGCTTCTTTTTGTACAACAAACTCCCCATAAACATGCCGACCATTGAACACCAATACACCCCGATCTGCAAAAACCACTAGGTGGCTATGAACAACAAAATAGGGGCACCCTCAAAATGGTGTCCTTTAAAACCACCAGACAACAACAAAATCAAAAAAACACATCATATACAATCAGCAAAACAAATGGATGCGTCCCCAGAGTTGACACATTACCATGTGACTGAACTGGTTCCATGTGCTTGAATGCCTCCATTCACCGCCAAAGCGTAAATGAATCGCCAACTGCTGGTTGTTGCACATACCCGGAGAAATGGGAGGCTTCTGAACAGTTCTCTAAGGGTTGATTCCCCATCCTGCATTAACATCCTTCTGTTCATGGTTGTGGACAAATCACCTTTCAGTGATGCCGAGTTTCCCATTTCTGTGGCTATTGTGCCATTCAACAAACAAAAAACAATACTACCCTGCTTTCGCAGCAAACGGCCGTAAGCCCTCCGCAGACTGCAGCGCCATGTCCGACTGCGACCTGCGCGCGGGGCGGGTGAGGACGATATCCTCGAACTGATGCGGGCGAAGTTGAGGTTCGTTCCCAGCGAAACGGAGACACGAGAGGCAAACTTTGAGAACTCACGAAGTGAAGGCTCAAAGGTTGCATCCTCAAAATCCTCTACCTCCAAATGTCTAGGGCTTTATTTGGGACATAGACACCCTTTACTTCCCTCTCCCACGAACACCGTTTGCTTAAGTTTTAGCGGTGCTTTGGGGAGGAAACAAACTTCGAGAACGGGTCTCTCAGAATGGTTGTTTCCCGCTGAAACGGTCCTTGAGCTCCTAGGGAGTGGACCAAATCCTGCAGCTGGCAGGCGGTTGCTCCCAGCTGTTCATTCAATCCCAGCCTCAGGATGTACCACTTTTTCCTGCTTAGGGAATGACCTTGCGTCCGGGTGTTGGGAGTGAGCCGCTTTAAGGAGATCCTTGAAAGGAAACCAGCCCTGTCCACTGGCCACTTACCAAGGCCTGTCCACTTCTGTTGGAACGGTGGCATCCTGGCGTTGAAAGGGACTCCCAAGAAAACACGAGCCTTTTGAGTAGAAGCGGCAAGCTGATGCCAAACACGGCCCCAAGGCCATGCCCTGCCCAAGTTTGAACTTAGAGTTTCAGGTTGCCATGCTCTGTGACACAGATCCGTGTCAAGAGTGCTGAATTCCTGGGGATGGTGATCCCAAATCGGTCTCACAAGGCAGAGGTTGTGACTTTACAAGTACCGTGGATGGACTTTCCCCTTTTGGTCTCCCTTTGAAACAGATGTGCGCTGGAGCCAGGCTCTCCGGGCACCCCAAGCAACAGCTGCTCAATTTGCCGGTGGTGTGCATTGAAACCGCCACTTCTGAAAAGTTCCAAAAAGGAAAATGGAGCCTGGGCGGCCCTTTTTCCCGCGATCGCAGGTTCCACACCGGTGCCAAACACATTCACTGGTCAAATGTCAGCGTCGTTGGCTGATGTGAGCCCGCACTGCGAGCGACATGTGTGGCGGACGTCTTTCTGTTGAAGACACATGCTGTCAACTTTGACTCCTCTTGATCTCGCCCTGGAAAGAGCGTTCTCTGCAACCATGTTCCACAATATTCCCTGGATGATGATCTACAGGAGCTTCCAACTTCAAGACTTTGAATGCGGCATCCCAGGATGAGGTCGTGGAGTAATGACACGATGATCGTATGTACAACCTCCAAGGGGCACATGGGGCACTCCCAGAAATCTGCGCTCGCTTCACAGCCAGGCTGCCCAGGCGCGTCGCAGGAACTCCTGGAGAATGGAGTGGGCAGAGACATGTCTCTTTCAGCTTTGGGGAACCCCTTGCTTGGGTTCCATGTTGCAGAGCAATCTGCAACATATATGAATATGAACGTTTGATGGACACCCAAGCCATACTATACCAGTATCAGCTTTTGATGGACTAGTCACATCAGTTACAAAGCTGTGTCGTTCAAAAACGAGTAGAAGCAAACATGCCTAAGGACTTTCACGGCCTTCCAAAGAGTTCCCAAGCATTTGTTCAAACATCGTCAATCCCTCCATTTACCCGGCCTCTAACATGGCACCTCACAAAGGGGCTTCCTTCACGTGGAAACTTCCAGGTACCCTCTCAAAGGTGCCTTCTGTTGGAGGAAGTCTGGGAGGGAAAATCTTTTGTGTTTCATCAAACTTGCAACTTACCAGTCCTTTGACTCGTGATCGCCGACCTGCAAGACGTTGGTCCCATGCGCCAAGATAATGCCCCGAATCTCCCAGCGCGTTAGGATGGTGCCAAGGAACTGCCGCACCTGACCAAGCAAAAAGCAACAACTGCAAATTGACATAAAACCTCTTTCGTTTTGTTGGGGTGAAGGACCTGGCGGATTGCGGTTTGAACAGATATGTCGGCCGATATTGCTGGGCGTGTCGGATACTTAAGAGAGGATAGAGGATAACCCCCCGCCCCACGGGAGGGAGGCCGCAAAAGGAGTCTCTTGTAGACATGCTGGGTTTTTGGATTCCATGTTCATCTGGGGAGTAAACTGGGGCTCACCCACCTTTGGCTGTCCCCTTGGCCCAATTTTGGGGCACCAAACAAAAAATATGTTCAAATGCCTCATCTGGGTGTCTTTTTCAGGGGACCCCTTTGGCTTTCCCTTAAAACCACCAAAAAAAGGCATCCTAACCCTAAAAGCACACACACACACACTATTTAAGATGCCCAGCCCACCCGTGCGGTACACCTTCCTCCAGGATATCCCCACAAGAAGACACTCATAGTTCGCAATGGTCTACTCCCAAAACCACAGTTTCCCAGTGTACATACCAGCCTGGCTTTCCCTGAATGCCTGAATGGTTTGGGGTAGTGGGGAGAAACAAACTTAGATATACATATATATATATATACATACATACTGCTCTCGTGCCGGACTTAGTGGTCATGGTCTTAGGCGGGGTACTGCCCCCGCTGCCACGCTGGGATGTTAACCTCGCCTGCTTTGGTGGATGAAACTTGATTCTCGGACCCTATGGTGACTTGGTGGGTTCCACGTTGGCAGAGTTTGGGCGTTTCTGCGGACACCCTTATAGTGAGTTTGTGGCAACTGTTGGTGGCCCTTTCAACCAACGTGGGAATCGGTCTAAGTGGAAGCTTAGCACAGCACCCCTTGCCCAAATATTTAATTTAGCAGGGTTACTCAAAAAATACATCCAGACACAACCTGTACACAAATCAGCTAGTAGTGGATACGTTTGTCGACCGCATGAATCCTTTTAAGGGACCCTGTTTACCGTCCCCCCCCCCCCCCGTTTTTGGGGCAGAAACAATCCGACCTTGTCCTGGTCTTGCACGCTGAACTGGTACTCTGGCGCGGGCTTGGGCCGATTCCACATGCCGAAGCACCACCAGAAGACTCGGAGGCACCGGTTGTAGCCCACCTCGAGCAGTCCATAGCCAGCTTCAAGGACTACTTCGTGTTCCGGGGGGCTTTTTGTTTAAGGGAACACCAAGTACTTGCTGTTCCAGCGGCCTTTTTCTTAGCGAACCCCAAGGACCCAACTGGACTACTTGGTGTTCCAGAGGCCTTTTTCTTTTAGAGGGAACCCCAAAGACTTCTTCACTGAACCCATGCCAGGTGGGAAATCAGCCACGGGTTTAAGTCTACCATGGAATCATGGAATTCAAACAATGGTTCCACCATGGCAACTCTTGAAACATCATCCTTTCAGGGGCGCATGTTGCCACTATGCACTGGGTTCCGGAGGGCTTTCACTCAAGCACACTCCAAAAGCCTTCCTTTTTTGTGTGACTTCTTTGTGCCACGGGCGCATACCCGTCTCCGATGTACTCCACCAAATCCACCTGGGTTGGCGTGTGGCATGAAAAAGAAGTGGCTGCTCCTCCGAAGGCAACCGTGATTTAGAGGTGGTGTTGTTGTCCAGAAGGGGAAAAACTGCCATTTGGCCACGGAACTCACTCACAAGTGGTTGGTGGAGAGAAATCAGCCATCATTGCCGTTTCAGTCACCTTTCTTGTGTATAGTGTCAAGGCAAACCAAGGAAGAAGCACAACTTTGGGGTCGCGTATGTTACGACACATCCAGGAACGGTCCTCACATGGGCGACACCAAGTGCTTGGTTTCCCGTCCCTTCACAAAGGTTTCTCTCAAATAGGGTAGCCCTAAAATGTGTCGTTGCGAACATCTACATTTCAATTTCGGAATGTTTGGATGTCCTTGGGAATGTCCATGTACGCCCAGCTTCGCCCACAGAACAAATAATGTATCCTCAGACCAACTTGGACCCGCGGCTCCTTGTCCAAGAGGAACTTGGTCTTCAAAATGAAACTGCGCACCAAGAGGCAAGGCACCAAAACAAGGGAACCTCATAAAGCGGTCTTCCCAAGTGGCAAAATCCAGCACCCTTTAATTTTGTGTGGAAACAGGGAAGCACTGGGAGAGAGTGGGTGTGGGACAGTTCCATCCCTGGCATGGTCTCAGCGGAAGCTGGGTGTAGGAAGCATATTCCCCGCGTTGCCTATCGCAACCCTAAGGCTGATGACCCCTCCAGTGCAGGACCCCGGGCCCTCCCATGAAGAACCCGGACCAATTCCTCAGGGGCCCTGGAAAACAACCCATTCTGAGGGCTGGGATGGGTGAATGAAAAGCTGGGATAAACCACCTACCAACTGCAGGATTTTGTCCATCCACACTCCCCAGGAGCTGGAGGACCGTGTCAGCCTATGGCAAGACGAGGCACCAGCAGCAGATGCCGCGAGGGCTTGTGATACCTCGGTTGCTTTCTGCTGCCCTGCAAAAACTGACTAACTTGGAGTGGTTTAATTAACGGAAAACCCAAATTAGTTGGCAAAAGATTCTCAAGTCCTAACATCTGTTGGCAAAATGCAAAGAAACTGACATGGAACCTAGGCCGCAAAAGGAGTCTCTTGCAAACTGCACCAAAGATACATCACCACCTCTCGGATCAGCCCAAAGCCCTCAGAGGCCACCGCCTCGAACTCCGAGGTGAATGCGTCGGAGCCCACGTGTTTCGCCAGGTAGTCGTGGATGAACCCGTCGTGCCTCGGATTCGGATTCGGGGGCGGGGGGGGGGGGGAGCGAAGAAATTCTCTCCTCACACAGCAAGCCAGGGAAATCGAATTCAAGTGAAACCTCAATGCCCAATGAACTGTGCACCGCGCCAGGGGGGGCAAGGTTTTGGGGGACAGGGTTGTGGAAAGTAAGCCTCATTCTCCGACCGCCTTAATGAATTTTGGGGAATGAGCCCCATTTTTAAAAGGTCATGGAGACTCCGGGTTTCTGTGACAAAGGGTCCATTTCTATGACTGCTTTGTCACTTCAGAGCACTTTTCTCTGGCCCCAGGACGCTATTTCCACCATGGTCTGCCTCCTGCCAAGTGGACAATTTTCTTGGGGTGACCCTCAAAGGATCCAAGTTGCTCCCAAGCATGCACCCAAGGGTTCACAAAAGTGTCAAAGCGCAAAAGGGCACTTTGAATGGACCTGAAACGCTGGAAGTACCCCCCCCCCCTCCCCCGCCTTTCTGCCAGAAAATTCCAATCCGCATGACTTCAAGGGCCATGTGCGGACACGGGGCAGAAGCGACGGCTGCTTCTGCTCGACGCCCGGGCAAATGAGCTTGACGGCATGTGGGAAGCGCCGAGCCCAGTCGACGATGTGGAAGTGGTGCATATCCCCGGGCGCCAACAGGTAGGACAATCTCCTTCAGTCTAAGGCTGAATGTATACGCATATATATGAACCCTTGGTAGAAACCCCTAGTGCATGGGTTACAACACAGTTATAGGGTTTTGGCTTTGTGGGAAATCAGCCCCGTTTGGGTCCAAAATGGTCATGGGCTCATGTATGTATATATAGATATATACATAGACCTATGCAATCAGCCTTGCCAACTTGGCTGCGGGGAACATTGCTCCAGGGGGAGGGGAGGTTTTTGGTGTCTCGTCTTTTTTGGAGTTGGTACCCCTTAAGGGAAACCAAATGAAAAACCACCATTGTGGGGGTCCCCCAAAATAGAGCCAGGAAACGGAGGGAACAAGCACTAGGCTGTGGTTGTGGAAGAAGGGCCCCTTTCTGTCATACCAAAGTGGGATTCAACTTCCATGATACGGTTTCGATGCCTCAAAATGTTGGATCTATCCATGGAAGCTTAGCAAAGCACCAAGCAAAGAGGACTAGCTGGTGGAATCGACTAAACCGCATATCCAAAATCGTTGATCAAATTGAAGCATTCCTGTCCATGCAGGGTATAGCAATAAACAATAGAGGAGGCTCGCAAACTACAAACGGGTCGGCCCTTCTAAAGCGCCACCAAAAGCAACACAGCCAACTAGGGGTCCCCCTAAACAAAGACGGACCCAAACTGCGATTGCATAGGAGTAAACAGGGCTACTCCCATTCGACAAGGCTACAAAGTCTTTTGGGAAAGAAACAACACAACCCGATACCCTTGCTTTACCAGCCGGTGGTTAGGTTGTTCTAGCGAAGCAAAATGAACACTAGATCGTTTGCACCTTCTCTCCTGACCCTCAAGTATATCAGGAAAGCCAGGATGCCTCATTGCGCTCGCCGGTGATAGATACACCTTATCTTCCCTCTAAGTTGGTGGTTTGGTTTGGTGGTTGTGGTTTACCATTTACCCACAAGATCCAGGGGTTCAAATCCCCAGTCCCCACCAATCTAAAGAAACCACAAGTTCGGGTTTTCCAAGGTAAATACCTCTTTCTTCAGTCAAGGGCTGACCTCATACTCTATCATTCCCTACAAAACGTGGGTCTTGGGTGGGGGTACCCCTGACCGTCGCGTCGCGCGTCCTGTTGCCGAAAAACTGCTCGCACACCTCGTCGAAGGGCGAGGGCGAGTGCACGCAGAAGCTGCCGTCCGACAAGCGGATGATGGTCATGCGGGCATAGCCTCACTCAAAGCCAAACAATCCACATATATCTATATATATTCATATATATATATATATTCAGATATACATATATACATATGTACTACCCAGAAAGAAACCCTCCAATGGGTCGAATGTTGTATATAATTAAAAACATATATATATATATATATACGTATATTATATACATATATATATATCTATATATATTATACATTGTATTATATATTACCCACATGAGTTGTGTGGGAAAGCATCTGGAAATGAAAGGCTCCCAAGGTTCCCTTTGGGGTCGCCCCATAGCAATCGCCCCCTTGGACCCGGAGGGTTCCTAATTTTGAGAAATTTGTTTGAAACCCCAAGGACTTAAACCCAGTGCCTGATTTTCCAAGCAGGGCCTGCGTGTTTGTTTTAGGGCAACTTATGGCTCCACCTGCCCAATCCAAAGCAAACCGACCGGATCAGACCTTGCGGTTTTAAATCGCGTTGGGCATTTTTGTTCTGGGGGTTCTACTTGGATGGTGAGGTCACAAAAGGTTGGCATCATGTTTCTTTTGAACTTTGGCTTTTCGGACGCAAGGTCCCAAATCTAAGTGGTTGCTCACCAGCGAATCAAGATGGAACCTCGAACACGCTACTTGAGGAATCTTTTGTTGGGGGGCCCTGCTTGTTGGTGACATGTTGACCTACAATTAGACGTAATTAGAGGAGAAACGAGGGTTTGAAAGGTTGACCAAGTTGACCATCCGGCAACTAGCCAGTGGGATCTTTTGACCGCGACGCATGTGGTGCCGCCGTAGTAGATGAAGTAGTCCCGGCACCACAGCAGGTCTGGAAGCACGTTTTCCACGGGCCGCAGCTCCGGAACGTCCGGCGGCTCCGTCAAGACAAGCCCCAGGGACCAAAACACGAAAAAGGCCAGCGACGCAAAGTAGAGCCTAGAGCCTCCGGAAAAAAATGCTCAACTTGAAGCGAAAAGTTACCACGAAACGAGCCTTGGAATTTGACGTTGGCCTTTATGCTAGAAAAGCTGGCCTTTGGCCGGTCGAAACGGAAATGCGTCACAATCAACACCAAAGGCGACCGACAGTCTACCCAACGCCATTTAACGAATTAAGAGGGCGGCACATTGTGAGGTGGTATTCCCATAAAAGCCCCAGAACCCTTGAGAACCCGCTCTAGCTCCTCCGAACCACAGAACTTATTTGGGCCTATCGACCTAGCTTCCAGCTGCTGGGGGAGAAAGATCAACAACAACAATCCAAACAATCCACGTAGGTAGTGTATGTACCAGCATTTGACCCGTTTGCAGGGTGTCTTTGTGGAGAAATACATGGATTGGTTCAAGGCGCGTGCTAAGTTTGGCCACGGAGCTTGGAGAAGTCGCTGAATCGGAGCGTCAGGGTCAAGACAAGGCCCAAGAGCCACACCAACTTTTGGGTTTGCGAGCATCGGAAGCGCCCGGAAATCGAGGCGTTCTCTCCAGGGTCCAGCCGCACCTGGCGCATTAGCATGGGGAGCCGGGGGGGGGGGGGGGTGGGGGGGGTGGACTGCCCCCCTGAGTTGGACATGCACCGATCAGAGGCACAAAGGTTTTCCGGTGTGCCCCCCCCCCAAAAAAAAAGGCGTGTGGGGACAAAGCGACATTCACCAAACTCCGGAAGCTTAAAGCTGGCCAAGTCGCATATTCCGACATGGCGAAAGTAGGCAGCAAGCCAAGCTGGAGCCAAAGGAGCCAAATCGGAGCGCTTGCGGACGGGCCCGGCACCGCTGCGCAGAATGAAAGCGGCGTCACAAGGGGTTTGCACGTTTGGTTGAAAATATGAAGCCCTCCGCAACGGGCTATTCATCAGAGCGGGTCCAACTCTATTTATATACCATTTGTTTGTTGGTGTTGAAGAAAATATAAAAGAAACCCCTGGTTGGGCCCCCTATTTTGACACATAGCCATGTCCGAACCAACCATTGAGGAGTCAAAAAAACAAGCATTGACATGTCTTGGCTAAACCAACAAATTAATCGGGAGGCGAATCCCGTTCTGGTAGCACGGTAACACACCCAGACATCTCTCCAGGAAAACCCAAACGTTTTGTCTTCCAAAAGGACAAGAGTACCCCAAGCCCCCCCAAGAACAGCTGGGTTTCCAGTTGGAAACTCAAGGAAACCGAACCCTACTTCACGTTCGTGTTTTGATCCTCACAACATCCATTGCAATATCTAATAACACCACATACTTAACAAAATAAAACAAAAATGACCGATTCGGATGGTGTCTTTGTAGGTCAAGCCGCCCTCAGCCTGCAGAGCGAAGGTAGCGACCAGCAACATGGCCAACTGAGCCAAAACCAGCGGGTCGAGCCGTGCCGTCCAACTCCATCAGCCTATTGGCGAGCAGTCCCATGTAGTGGATGAGGGGGGGGTGAGATGTTTCTTTTTATCGTGAATTGGTCACCCCCTGTTTAGTGGATCATGGAGAATCCCTTTAAATTGCCAACACCCGCCCACCCCACACACGATTCTATTCGTGTTCGTCAGTCTTCCATTTGGGTAAGACCCCTGGAAAAAATAAAACTATTTCCAGTAGTGATAGATTCCCTTTAAAACCAACAGGGGAAAATCAAACATATTCATTTCAGCAAATGGAAGTAGTCTGAGGTCGACCTGGCCGGCATCCAGACTGGCATGCTGTCCGCTCGAACTGCTCGGAAAGTTTCAACCGTGCCCATTGCAATGGGTGCTTCTCACACATTGGTCACATGGCGGTGGCTCAAAAAACCGGAATTCCAAAATGGAACCCTGGTAAGTGGAAACATGGACCAAAACCTGCGGTTTGCCCCTCCTGTTCAATTTTGAGCCACACCCACATAGTCCATGTCTGAAAGGGTAGCACCGGGGAGAAGGTGGCACCTCTCTGAGAAACAAACGCCAGTCTCCGAGAAATTCACCACCTCCCCTTCCGTGGGTGTTTCTGGAGCTTGTTTC